ATGGACTTCCAAATACTCTATGGGGCCTACGTCAGACCGCTCCTGGAGTACGCCAACCAAGTTGTCTACTCAGGACGTACGAAAGACGTTACCCTCAGGAGACCACGACAATTCAAGGGAAAGAGATCAGGCGCCCGAATAATTGTTTCAAAATCGACGGATTTACGGCCGGCATCTATTTTCGTAACAGCTCTTTGGACAAGCTCAATGCGGGTTACATCCTTCCCTAGTCCTGTTTAGACGACTTGGTTGGAGCATTCAAGAAGCGGTCTGACGTAGGTAAAATAGAGTATCTGGAAGTGCGCGCCGACTCATCCGTAGAACAGTAGTTCTTATGCGGTAAATCAAGTTTTCGCTTGAAGTCAGGATTTTTTAGATACGGAACGCCGTGGTAAGAAATAATGCATTACAAAAGTATACTCCTAAACCGGGATGGTCCATATTCTGTTTCACCATCTCTGATTATGTTGGAGTGAGGGCTACCTTACATTTTCACCAGATTTTCGGTCTGAAGTTCGGTCAACAACTTTTGTGACCAGAAAAATTTGTAGCCTCAGCCTCTGAGGAGATCACGTGAGATATTAATTTCCTAAGACTAATAATCCTTCAGGCCTTGAGAAATATCTTCATCCAGTTACGGGACGGATAGTTCCTTCAAGTTTACTCTCGTTGGTGACCATCCAGTCACGTCATAAATGGTGCCGTCGATAATTTAGCGAGCCTTCTCTAGCAACGTGCATGAGCCGTGAAATCTGACGATGTCGCTAAACTGGGGGCTGACAGGAGCTAATGAAAATAAACTTGAATAGTTATATGAACTGGAATAGCGATTAAAATATTATTAGGTATATTTCCCACCCTGTAAGTAGCATAACAATTGGCACATGATCGGTGGTAACAGAGTGAACCTGGCGGGCAACGGCACAAAGAAGGGAAAACTCAGACAAAAGAGACGGGCTTACCACGTTACTTTTTAACGGAGAATTTGGAAAACGACGAAGTCAGAACAATCGGGCATTAGGTACGACTGGTTCAGTGAAGCCGGTTGTCTTCTGCTAAGACTGAAATCCCGTTGCCAGCCGTGAGTGACCTTGAGCATTTGAGTAATCGGCCAGGATCATGAAAAGCACAACTGAAGATGAAGATATGAAGAAATTCAAAGTGTGGAAGAACGACAGTATCATTTCAAAAGTGTGATTTACACTGAAAGTGGGTGGACCCACCAATGTCTACCGGATGTAAGTTGGATGTAAAAGACGTTTGAAGGGGAGATACCGTGCTAATGCATAGAGCAGAACAAGCATCGTAAGTCGGTCAAGACGAGCACATTAGAAAAAGATTCCAAAACTCTCTACGTATTGGTAACCGTTTTTGTGAAGACCGGGAACACTGACGCCGTGGGATGACATGAGGACGCTCCCAAGTGCACCCCAGAAAGCAAGTTTAAATTGACAATGAGGTGATCTCGGAGGTTGTGATGTTGATGAGCTCCAGCGCGTCAAAGGTGGCCTACTCAATTACTGACAAGTCGTCATTCATGACCCGGCAGAGGAAGCCAAAACTCCACAATGAAAAACCTGAAAATCCTTCAAATCCAAAGCTGGCCACGCTGGTCGCAGGCTACTCGAGGGTCCACGCAAACGCGAAAGAAAAGCAACTTCAGTCAAGCCAAACACATGAACTTCGCCAAATCAGAAAACCACTGTCTAGCTTCAAATTGCGGTCCTCTGTAAAAACGAGCACCATGGGAGCGCCACCAAAAGAAAAAATTCTTGGTGCTGCCACGAAACACACAGGGCCTCACATGTATACTCTGTTGATCCAATCGTGCCAAAATGACCGAGCGACCAAAAGCATGCCTGATTATTAAACAATAGGATGCCTAGTCTTCCAAAAGCGATACAGAAGGACCTGCATGTAGCAGCGGTGGAAATTTTTGCTCACGAGGGGAAAAGCTATTTCCAGCAAAAGTGAGCGGCTCGCGCGAATCGGACTCCCAAGAGAGGAAAAACCCAAAAAATGAGAAGTAGCGTTGGAAACCACTAAGGCTAGAAGCAGACGAGTTCGCCGCGGAGACTTTATTGTTGCCCCGGATGCTAACCACCCGTACAGCCGTTAAATCCGCTAATCCATCTGGCGGTGCACCATTTAGCTCCTATCCGTCGGAGGCAGCGAAGACAATGTTGAAATGCTTGTCCTCAAACTTCCAGGTCTATTCAAAATAATTTCGAGATATTATCCAGCAGCTGGGCCAGATAAGCCGTCCAAGATCGCACTTACAGAAGTTTGGCTCACATCAGATATCTCTGACGAGGA